TCTTAAGCCGTGTTATTTAAATTATTTGTACAATTTGATAGACAGACAATCAATATGAAAATGTTGGAACTTTAACAATTGGATTGCGCTAACCTTTCACGCAATAGACACATACAGTTTATGAAAAACACATAAACCATGTTATAACATTGAAATCTTAGCTACTGTATTGCTAAGTGCTTAGCGGTGAGAATACTTTTTGTCATTCAATTATGTAAAACCTATGTTGAATCAAGCTGAGCCTTAGATCATTAAATAATACTCGTTCGTTGATGTAAATTAGTTAGTACAGTATGACACCCTATGAGTTTATGTCTGTTTTATAAACGACACAATTTCAACGAAAGTGACAAAATGACAAATAACATGTTAAAAATAGATTAAGTAATGTCCTTTGCATTATTATAAAAGTGTGTATAATTTGTTTAGTATGTTGGAAAACAACTTCTTGTGTTAACTTGTTTTCTACCAAAAATACTTCTTTACGTAACAAATAGCTTTCTTTTTATGTTTATTCATGAACATTAAGTGTTGTTTTCAATTTAATTTGACTCCATTCAAAGAGATATTTTTTGTCATGACAGGCCTGGCTATAATTGTTCCTCGCTCTATCCTCAGAACCAAACTAAAAGAAAACTTTTTAAGAATAATAATAAAAGAAAAATAAAAAGAAACAAACTCGCCCGCTCATCAAAACTCGTAAATAAGAAATAAAATACACTTTTTATTGCTTGCTCGCTCAAGTTTCTATCCATACTGCTTGTTTTTCTAAAAAAACAAGAGTTCAATATGGCGTGCCCAAAATATGAACAATAGAACACATGTTTAATTGAAAGGACACATTAAATGATATATGTATAAAGAGTCTGAGATTCGTATTCAAAAGGTTGTGCATTTGATGGGCTTAATAATATTTGGCCTTACCCTAGATTTCATTTTATATTTTGTCAACTTCCTATATCACTGATTCCCCGAGTAGCAAACCCCCTAGACCTCCTCCTCACAGAATAATAACTTAGGACATTATGATTAACTAGTTAATTGTTTGGTTAACTGTAAATTTACACATAAACAGAGAGATAGAGATAATTCATAAGAAAATATTTCATAGCTGCATACAAATATTTGACGTATTATTGTTAGAAGAACCATACAGGTTATCTGTAAATATATATAATGTATATTTGTTTACAACGATTTATTTTTTCTCTGCAGTGGTGTAGTATAAATATCATGTTTAAACCAGTCGCTGTACCTACATGTAAATGTATAATCGTAAATGTAACAAACATCTTGTTTTGGGATATATTTTACATCAGATTATGGAAGGCACACTTGTAGTGTGTAGCGTTTACGTTTTGAGGTGTTGAAGGGAGTTGTGTTGATTTTTTGAAGTTGGTTGAATTTAAATGTGATGATCTTAATTGATCAGGGTTCAGTGGTTGTAATTAATTGTTTGGTTTTTGTATCTTATTTCGGTTGTTGAGTTATATATGTTTGCTTAGATATGCTTGGTTGATATTGGTTGAGTTGTATGGAGTCAATTTGTCTTGTCAAGATTATATCAGTTGAAGCTGTTTTTTGGGGGATATCAGTAAATATTGGGTGCTTTATTTCAAAATGTTTTCTGATGCTGATTAGATTTTTGTGAAGTAAATATTGTTCGTTGAATGTTTGTGGTTTATATGTTGTAAAACATATTCATTTTGTGTTCTTAAGTTTTGTGGGGATTTAATATTTTGTTTGACCATAAGTTAGGTTGGGCTCGCCAGGTGTCTAGTATTGTTCCGTATAAAAAAACCTAAACGTGAAAATATATTTGGTATAAGTGGTTGATAAATGATGTGTGTTTGTTTTGGGTGTAAATAATGATCAGAGTTCTTTATTTTGGGTGTAAATTATAATCAGAGTTTGTTGTTTATGGATTTGAGAGAGAAAAAAGATAAAAAAATACCTAAAATAGTGTTAAGTAAACAATTACATGTTAGTTTTCCAACTGAGAATATTTCAATTTTAAGTCAGACGGTGCTGCCCTGCCTTCATATATTGACAATTGATTCTAGTATTTATCATTTAATCATTCATTAGATTAAATAACATTCTCCTGAGAATTGTATTAAATTTTATAACCTGATAAGTGCTAAGTGTAACAAAGCGGTGGCTCTATTTTAAGAATCTTTGTATCCCCAGCAAAATAAATATTGTTTTTGTTTTCAATTTAAACTTTAAACCGTAAAATTGTAACTTGATCTTATATTGAAATTTTCTTTAAATTGGCAGGTTAAATAGATGAAAACTGGAAATGAACTATATATATTAATCTTCAATCGATTGTTTGTACAGAGACCTATATGTTTGTCACTTTCATTAAAACGTAATAAAGAATTTTGATTAAGAAAAAAAATTATTAAATGAATAAATAGTTAAAACTGCACAAAATGTTTAATAGGGTATGTAAGTCTCGTCATGTGACTTGCAAGATTTCACGATATTTTGCACTTTCGGGTACAAACAAATATCAACAACATTGCTTATCTATATTGGGTAATACTTGTATGCCGGTGGGAAAGTAAAACTTACATGGAAAAGCAAATGATATGTGGAAATTGGCAGAGTTTTTTGTTTTGTAACGAAATGCAACTGGTTTCATCTTGTGTACAAGTATCAATGAAAGACAACTTCGTATAATCTTCAGGTGGGTGTGTCATTCAAATTCAGTTTATCCCAATAAATGTTGTAATATTTTCATTTCCATGTAAATCTAATAAATTTGTTTTTTGATGCAACATCATTCGCATCTGACACCAGACTGGTAACTTTGATTTTATCAATTTTCTATAGCGCTACCTGATTATCTCTCAGAAGTATATCATGTTTAGAAATTTCGGACAGCGCATATTTCGGATAAACGTTTCAATATGATTATAAGTGTGTTTTAGTTGAATATATTTTCTTCCAACTGAAAATATTATTTATTTATAATTATTATCTTTATAAAGCACAAGCAGTCAAGCTGTATATAACCAATTTAAATTGTCATAAAATTTAATGAAATATTTTGCTCCTGTAGATATTTAGACTGAGGACAGTGGTGAGATGAAAGACGTCAGTATCCATTGTAAATACACATGCATGCCCTGCTGTAAAATCGTTTTGGTAAGAAATATATACTTAAAGCTACTTAAACTACATTAATGAAAAATAAATATTATTGTATAACATATAATGTTCTCGTTTTTGTAAATAATTACAGTGTAGCTAAATAAAAAAAAACATTATGGCATATGTAGTTAATTCATGTTAAATACTGTTTTAAGTATTTTTCTCAAGTAAGTGGGTCATATTTTTTTAGTAAAATCATGTTCAGTAAATGGTTAAAAGAACTTAGTCACTATCACATTTTTTTAAAGATCAGTTGTCAAAGCAAATCTACAAAAACTAAGACACCAAGAAGTGTTTCTTCCTTTTCAACATTATTTTCTATTCATGACAATATGAAAATGATTGAAATTTATAGCTGACCAATTATTATTGCTTTCAACTCATGATAAATTTTCTTTAAATACAGGTAATATGTGATTTCATGGTTGGATCTTGAGTACTTGTCATGGCTCTTGATTTATTTTGGAGTGTTCACCATCAGATTAGAAATCAAATAGTGATACCACCAGGCATAGTTGAAAGGAAATGTCCATACACAGTCTTGGAGTACATAGTGGTAGAGACATGGCAGTCCATAACAGATTTTGACTGAATTAAAGCTTCTTAAAGCTCCATGTCTTGTGTAAACTGTCTGACTGAATGTTTGTATTCTAATAAAAACTAAGGTTGAAGACACTTCAAAGATATATGTCAGTGTAAAAATGTTAAACAAAATAGCTGTCTTTGTTAGAAATAAATAACCTGTCTTTATTAAAAATAAATAACCTGTCATTTGTAACTTTGTATTAACTTAATTATTCAAAGATATTTTATCTTCAGCAAATGGCTGCCCAAAACAGTTTCAACAAGGCATCATGTAGTTTCAAAACAGTTAAGATAAATTTGTTATGTATGGACTTGTAAAGTAACAGGAACGGTAAAAAGATAAATGTCCAGCATTAAAATGTTTCTATCTTGATTGAGTTTCATTTCATATTATCACCATGATCACTGCAATAATTGTAAAAGTAATGTAATCTTTAACCATTATTTAAATATCATAAAATTCATCTCAAAGAAAAACTTGTTTTTGAGGCAAGATGTGTAAAATTCCTTCCAGTTATAACGTTTCACTGCTCTTAGAAAAGCCATGATTTGCATTGTAATTTGTACATGGCAGGTAGTAATACCAGAGTAAACAATATAAATGCAATTCATCTGTGTTGAGTATTCTGTAGCAAAACACTAGCTTGCTAGCCCTTGTAAGCCCAAGTCTCTCTCTTAATTGGAGAAGACTTTCAATTCTGCATTCTTTGAAGATTTTAGTATCAGAGGGGTAGTTATTACATACCATATACTTCTTTGGGTTTCAAATTACCTGTTTATAATGTATTGATCCTGTTAACATTTGACCAAAAGTGAATTATCTAATAGTATACAATACATGCAAAACTTAGGGTTTGCACTTTATACAAAACAATTACATCACTGATACATTAATATACCCATTGGAACTGTTTCAAAATTATCAATGTTTCAAAAACAAAAACAAAAAACAAAAACAAAAACACACAATGCTTTTAACTTCTGTCCATGTACATATGTGTAAATGTAGTCATTGAAGAGCTGTCAAGAACTTTTCATCAATATTATTTAGATAGTGTCTGTTTCGATTTCAGTTAGACAAAATTCAAATGACATGCATAGAATTTAATATAGTCAATGCTTGCATATTCAAGCAATCTAGCCATTGCCGTTAGAGAATTAAAGTACACAGTGACACTTATTTTGTAGATGAACTCTTATGATCAAGCACTGCTATAAATATATGCCAAATAGTAGAAACAAAAAACAGTTCATAGGTTTAATAAACTTTTATTTTTACAAAATTTATAGTGCACTGCTTAGCATATATATCACACTGATTTTCCAGTGGAAGAAAAACTTCAGGAAAGCACTTGGAATTATTATTAGTTATTTGAACAATGTAACTTTACACTGAGAATGTCTACTGATACAAGAATAAGAATATTTCCTTTTACAAATGTAAAGACTTTGAAAATTAACATGAACAAATTATCATAGAGTTATAAATCATATTCTAATTGAAAAATGTTCAGCTTGATATCAAAGCTTTGAATTCAAATTTGTGAGCTTATCAATGATTACCTCACAATATTAGTAGTAGATGATATATAATAGTCTTGCTAATCTTTATTTCATATGAATGAAATGTGGATATTTTACTCTGTTTCTATCATTGTGGCATTAACATGTTAACAAGATCATAGTGTCAAACACTTTAAAATCATACTCTTTATACATTAAGATTCTTGTGCTGGATGTCATTCATCTTCTTCAGGAAAGTACATTTGACTATTCTCAGTGGCTTATATTAAACTAATATTTCACTGTAACTTTGTGTTCTCTGATATCATTCTCAAATTAAGGAACAGGAAGATGGTAGTTGCAATAAAGGTCTTCATGGACAAATCCTCCTTCATCTTTTCCCTTTTTATCTGCAGATTGAAAAATCAATAAATATGTTGTTACAAGTGTAAGGCACTAGAAATGATATTAACATTACATTTAATAAGCTGGTCATGACTGACAGAAACATTCCATATTTGAAGTAAATAAACATTAAAGATAAACAAGAACACATATTGATCTTCTTGAATGTGAGACATGACTAATTTTAATGTTTTATTTACTTATCAATTATCATGCAGTGAAATCCAAAAGTTATTAATATATTTTGATAATATATTGATATTAACATGTATATATAATTGAAAAAGGAACAAGAATAAAATGGAAGGGAAAAAAATATCCGTATTACTGTGCAATGTCCGAATTTTGTATAACTTTAATATACACTAGAATTAAAGTGTTTCTCCATTGTTTATTTCAATAAGTTAAAATGGTTTGAATTAATTTCTCACATCAGAAGTTTTAAAACAATACTAAAAGCTAAACAACTAGAGTTCACTACCTTGACAAAACATCCGAAACAATTGTCACTATCCGAAAATAAACTAGTTTTATTAAACTCTATAAATCCCTCTTTTTTCCGTCAGATAATTGACCTACCTGCATTTTTTGACCCGTGCTATCCATTCCTTTAAATCTGAAGAGGACCGAAACAAATTTAACTTCTATATCCCTCGAGTTCTTCGGGTTACCTATATGCACAACGGTAAATAAGTCTGCCAATGTACCCGGAAGTGGTAAATCGAAAGTGAAAGTAAACGAGACTTACGGGCCCTATTACATAAGACGGCACTGGTGGCATGGTTCAAATCTGTTGTAAGAAGAAGGCTATAGTTTAGCTAACTCAATGGCCTTGTTTGATAACGTTTAGTCTAGTACACTAAGGCAGAGTTTGATAACTAACATTAATTTTTATTAAAAGTGTTTCATTGTTAGCCTTCGGTCAAAAAGTATATTGCAGGAAACACAACTTAAGCTCGGTTTTAAACAGTTTTGGTTAACACAAGTAATGGCATTATGTAGCGACTGACATTTTCTGACAGTTGTAAATGAAATGAGATACCACAGTCAATAATACCCTTTATTCATGTGAAAATTAGTACTGTACATAAATGTTAATAACAAACATGTCATTTGATGGCATTCTCATAAAGTTAGATTTCCTATTTGAAAAAATAGACTGTAAAAACTTGATATCATGTAATTCAACAAGCCGCACTCATGTTACCATATAGATGTCAAATGCAAGCACTTAAATGGTATGAAATATTAATAAACAACTCGTTTTCTTTTGTCTTTTTTCCCAAATAAATCAGTGACAGAGATGAATATTTACCTATAAAAGAGGTATATAGATCATTTTTTATCAACACTACTCCAAAATTAGCTAAAGGAGAGGAAAATATGTTTTGTATATATAAATAGATGCTGTCTTGCTGTTTCGCCGTCTCTTTGTTTCCCAATAAATCACTTAATGGTTGTCAGATTCTTCAAGGGATATTCCGACATATCAGATATATAGCTAATGTTTCCTTGAAACAAGACAAGATCATTTAATATATACTTTTGTTGCAGTTTTATATAAAACAAGTATAATAGGCTGCGTTTTTGTGTTCCTCAACAACGAAGGATCACGACTTTTTAGCTGCGACTTTTTGTAAGAAATTCGTCACTTTTGCACAAAGACATTTTCGGGAATACAAAGTCAAGGCTTAATTCTCAAACTCAATTTTTTTACAAGGTATGCCAAACAAAATATCGCGGATTATAATGGCCGCAATAGACAATGGCTCAGTCTTCTTTGAAGACAGAAAATGTTGACTTTTTACGACAGAAGTGTGACAGGAAAACTCATTTTATACAATTTCGACATAAAATCTTGACGATTTAAAAGTTGCCCGCGACATTTTATTTACTGGCGTTAAAATTTCTCGGTGCTTTAAAATGAATGATATCAGCTATAACTTTCCCACATGCTTCTTCTTTTAATTAAATTTAGTTTTTTCTGCTTACATTACAACCCTTTCAATAAATGAGCAGCAAAACGCTGCCTTATGAAATGCTTAAAGCAATAAATATAACACATTTATCTTATATTGCATCTCAGTCATTATAATAAATAACATTAATTTTTATGTTTCGCAACCATGAAATGAAGCATTTATTACTTTCTTATATGTTTTAACATTAATGTTAAGTCAGCAATTAATGAGATTTAAATTGGAAATTTATAATAGGTTAATATTGTTTTAAAATCAAACATTTGTTTAAAGGATTGGAGGTTGAATGTGTAAACTTAAATTGTTTCGATAATAAAACTATGATTGCAAAATAATATACACCTGTCACAACTTAAACATTTTCAATTAGATACTGTATGCTATACATCATTTAATGACTTTCTGACAAGTTTTGAGGAACTTATTCTCTGAAGTAAAAAAAAAACCCATTTTGAAAGCTGGAAAAAATTTCGACCGGATTTTTACAGAAAAATTATAAGAGCATAAAAGCGCTAATAATGAAAGGCAAATGATAGTTTTCGACAGAAATTAACATAATTATACACGCTGAATTACCAATAAGATGGTTTGAAAAAAAATAAAAATCCGATTGGATTTATTTCCAATTATTTTTGTTGGAAAAAATTCCAACTTTATTTATTCCCACTAAAAGATATTGGAAAAAAATCAAACTGGATTTTCATCAAATGATTCGTTTTCAAATTTTTTATCTATTTGATTTCTTTTTAATAAAAGATTACGAATTTTTTATAACTATGATGATAAATAATGATAATAATAATAATAAATAATAATAATAATAATAATAATAATGATGATGATAATAATAATAATAATAATAATAATAATAATAATAATAATAATAATAATAATAATTATAATAATTATAATGAAACTAGGAAGAAGTATAAAATTCCATGATGCGATTATAATTTTTATAATCATTACTTTTATTCATTATTATTATTATTATTATTATTATTATTTTTATTATTATTATTATTATAATGATTATTAACATTATTTTTTTTATTATAATTATTATTTTATCATAATTATTATTGTTATAATTATCATTATTATTATTTTAATGACTATTTTTATTTTTAGTATAAAAATTATACTAATTATGATTATTATGATTATAAAAATTATTATTATTATTACTACTATTATTATTAATATTATTATTATTATCATTATTATTATTATTATTATTATTATTATCTATTATTATTTTTATTTCTATTATTGTTATTATTATTATTACTATGTTATGATTCTTATGATGATGATGATGATGATTATCATCATTATTAGCATAATCATATATAATGATAATCATTATTATTATTATTATTATTATTATTATTATTATTATTATTATTATTATAATTATTATTATTATTATTATTATTGGTAGTGATGTTGTGACAGGGATGATCATGATGATGACGATGATTATTTTGTTTGTTCTTTGCTGTTGTTATTAGTCTTTTGTGTCTTGTTTCATTTAATATTTTTGTTGTCCACTATTCTTTATTAGTCTTTATCTATGTATGATTGAACAATTAATATGAAAGTTGTGCTTTAGCGCAACATAATCTATGTATAATTCCTAAATACATTCGTTGCATATAATATTTATTCATTTTGCATTTGTATTTATTAATATGTAGCACGCAATATTTACAAGACTTTCTCATTTGAGATGTCAATCAAAGCGTTTAAATAATACTGCCTTTGCTAACTTCTTAATTTACGGTTTCTAATCTGCATGCGAGAATTGATCGATCATGTACCAACAAAATTTTAAACATGACTTGCAACAAATGAAATGCATTGTGGGATTCCTAGCTCTAAGACAAAAGTCATACTTATTGATAAAAGGCTAACAACTATAAAATATTGCCAGGCCTATAAATATGTCGTGCATGAAGCATTTTGTAATACCTGTTAATAAGGGATTTTGAAATCAATTCAAATATGAAAACGACTATTTCTCTGTATATCTTGAAAGTTAACAGCGTGTTAATTAACCATATGTGCAGTAGCTTAAAAGAAAATTTACAATAAAATAATATTGCTCTTTTCTCAATAATGGGCGAGTGAATGAGCACACGTGCTGAATAACGTATTAAATTCTAGGTGACTTTCAAGGTGTCTACTGTCAATGAATGAACTGTTGTCACTTGCATAAGAACCAGACGTTTTGATGACATAATCATTCACTATTAACAAAGCTTTACATTGAAGGGCATAACACCACTGACTGTGTCAAAGCCAAAATGTGGCCTCAAACATTTTCCAAATGACTTTAGATTGACGGTTAATCTACAGTTTAGACAATAAGACAGCAGACACTTTAAAACAATAAAAACTAAAGATTTTGTTATGCATAAATCTAGATCAAGGGAAACATCACCAGATAGCTCAGACAATTTGAAAAAGGGAAGTACAAAAACCATCAACAAGACCTGGGAAAGATCTAAGCTCGGGCCAATTTAGAGCTTAATTTGTGACTTGACAACATCAGATCTGTTCTTGAAAGCACACACATTCATTAAAAACAACAAACACTAAAATTGATTCTCACAAATGAAAAACACTTATCAGTATTAACAGCAATAAAAACATTTTCAAATCTTTATTTTGTGTTACGAAGTTTTCTTATTTAATAAGATGTTTCTTGCTAGTTTGTTAGACTGAATGACAGATATTTACATCATTGACAACTGTCCGTCTCTTTTAAAGGGAGACAACAAATAATGATTAGCGGCAATGTCTTAACGCCGTATTTCGGTCATATGTATAAAAGACGTTAATACTTTGTTGCTGCTCGGCATAATGCGATAATGACCTTTCCAGTGTTCAAAGGTTTATGTTAATTGGCTAACTTGTTATCCAATTGCTACACTGAGATAAAACATGGTAACTTGTTGACCTGGTTTGCACAAAAAAAACACACATGGTTGCGTTTGTGATACTGTTTGTGAGAAGTTGACCTAGCAATGAATGGAAAAGGTTTGGCTAAATGTTCCGCTACGAAAAATCGGAAAGGTTCAATGACCAGAAGACCATAAAACCTTATGTACATGTCCGCGCAATTATCGCATAATGCGAGAATTAGTCACTGCTGCTGCTCCCCAACCCTTGGTAATTGATGCACTACAACAACATTTTGTTAGATTAGACAAATTTAGAAATATGAATTGTTTGAAATTTCTTTATTTTTTTACGGCATTATATGAAACCATTCAAATTTTGAATCCCTAGCATGTCTGTGTTATATATACAAATGTATAAACTTATCTTATATATGTGCTGTCTAATAAACATATAGTTCTGTTATTCATAAACTCTCGTAACTAATAAGGTGTGTCTTATAAGATTTCAAATATTAAAAAGTAAAAAATTTAAAGGGGGTCTTTTTTAAAAGGGATTTTTTTTTGGGGCCTTTCTTAATTGCAGAAAAATTAAAAGGAAAATAATGGTTTGGTCCCAATTTTTTTCCTTTTAAATCTTTTTTCAAAGCAAAAAACAATTTTCAAAAAAAATTGGTTCCTTTTGGTTATTGTAATTTAGGTTGAACATTTATAGCAATTTTTTTAAAGGAAAATTTTGTCAATTTAATTTAACAAAATAATTTAAAGGGGTAAAAGCGGGAACATTTTTTCTGTAAATTCTTAGGGACCCCCCCCTTTTTTTTTTAAAAAAAATTTAAAAAGGCAAAAAT